CTAGCAACGGCCACAGACACTCAATCCACTACCCAAAGCACACCATTATTCCTTCACCGGAATCTCCGAGAGACTCCTCAAGGTTTCCTGGGAAGTCCCAAAACTCCCCGTAAATCTGACCGCCATAAATGGCGCTTGTCACCTCCCAGACCGGTGGAATACGATAGAGATGACGATGACGTTCCTGCTTCGTTGCTGGTGGAAGGGGATGACGATGACGTTGGCCCACAAGACCTCGCTCCCCCGCCTCCCCATGCTTCTCCCAGCCGGAATATCCACGACAATGATGAGCTTCTTCTGGGACCATCGACACGAGAGACTCGAAACCACTGGGATAGGGTGAAAACACATCAGCCAATACATCCTATACCCCCTAGGATAGTTCCCGTTCCCACTCAAGCTGGTGGCCAACGTCGTGGAGGTCTAGCATTTGTTGACCCAAAAGAAAAAGCTATGTGGAGATGGGCAAATGTGGAGAATTTGGATAACTTCCTGGCAGATGTTTATGATTATTTTTTAGGGAATGGGATAAAATCCATCCTCTTGAGCCGGGTTCTGAACCTTTTGTGAGTAAGCATTTTCTTTTCATCTCATGTAGTCCTATATCCGGATGAACTGAAGTAGCTAACAGTGGGATAGGACCCTGGCATTCGTAGTCGGTTTTACAGTCTTCCTTACCAACTGCATTGATTATGGACGGGTACCCCATGGTAAGACCATGTCGGATATCGTCGTACCCCAGTGCGTCCGGAAGATGTCCGCTTCCTCGACCTTCCTCCTCTGGCTGTTTTCCATTTTCTGGATTTATCAAGCTGTTCGATACGTTCTAGATCTACGACGACTCTATCACTTGCACGATTTTTACCACTATCTCCTAGGTATATCGGATACAGATATTCAAACAATATCATGGCAAGAAATCGTGAGTCGACTGATGGCGCTACGCGATTCAAATCCGTCAACCGCAGGAGCTGTGTCTGCAAAGCATAGGAAATTTTTGGGTAGCCAATCAAAGCAACGAATGGACGCCCATGACATCGCCAACCGTTTGATGAGAAAGGACAATTATCTTATTGCGCTTTTCAATAAAGATATCTTGGATCTGACCCTTCCGATTCCGTTTCTCAGAAACCGTCAACTTTTCTCACGGACTCTAGAATGGAATCTCCACTTTTGTATTTTGGATTATGTGTTCAATGATCAGGGTCAGGTCAGAACCTTATTTCTCAAGGACACCCATCGGAAGGCTTTAAGTGACGGATTAAGAAGACGATTTCTGATTAGTGGACTTTTAAATATATTTATTGCCCCTTTTTTTCTCATCTACTTTATGATGCATTATTTCTTCCGCTATTTCAACGAATATCAAAAAAATCCTTCCCAAATTGGCTCCCGCCAATATACCCCTTTGGCGGAGTGGAAATTTCGTGAATTCAACGAGTTGCAACACCTATTTCAACGACGAATCAACATGTCATACCCATTTGCGACACGATACATTGACCAGTTCCCGAAAGACAAGACCGTCCAGGTATCACGCTTTGTAGGTTTTATTGCCGGTGCATTGGCATCAGTTCTTGCACTGGCTTCCGTTGTCGATCCGGAGCTTTTCCTTGGTTTCGAAATAACCCACGATCGAACTGTACTCTTCTATCTCGGTGTGCTGGGCACAGTGTGGGCAGTCGCACGAGGAATCGTACCGGAAGAGACCCTGGTTTTCGATCCTGAATTTGCGTTACGAGAGGTGATAGACTTCACTCATTACCAACCAGCGCATTGGCAGGGAAAACTGCATAGTGACGAAGTAAGAACGGAGTTTGCAATGCTTTACCAAATGAAAGTGCTTATTTTCCTGGAAGAACTTCTCAGCATGATCTTCATTCCATTTGTGTTGTGGTTTAGCCTGCCAAAGTGCAGTGACCGCCTGATCGACTTTTTCCGCGAATTCACGGTACATGTGGATGGACTTGGTTATGTGTGTTCATTTGCTGTGTTCGACTTTAAGAAGGGCACCAACGTCATCCCTCAAAATCAGGATGTCCAACAAGGCCCTTCCCATGATGCTGGTCAAACGGATCTTCGAAATGATTATTTCTCGACAAAAGATGGAAAAATGTTAGCATCATACTATGGCTTTCTTGATAACTACGCCAACAATCCGCGACCGGGGGCTCCGTATATCCATGCTCCATATAGACGGCGTTTCCACCCCCCACCTGCATTCCCTGCCCTGGCGTCCCCGCCTCTGATGCCTGATACAGGAACCGGCCGGCAAGGCCGATGGGATGCTTCACAACGTTCTATCACCCGACAAAACATGACCCATGCTGGTGGGTATTCCGTAACACCACGAACACCCCGGTTTGTTACCACAGCTGCGGCTGGAGCGCACAACTCGCCACTCCCTTCAGTCCTTCTAGATCCACACCACCAACCATCGGCGTCTGGCTTCCGTTCCTTCAACCGAAACGTTGCACAGTCCAGGTACCGCCCATCGCGCCAGACACATCCCATAAATGATACAATTCGAGATGAAGATGAACCATCGACTACTAGTCAGATAATCCCGCACCTTAACAAACAGCCCTCTCATATTACAACGGAATCTAGCGGTGCTGATGATAGTCATATGGAAGAGTCATGGCGGATGAATCTCGCTGATGGTGACGGTGAAACTGATGAAGAAGCTGAGAATGTCCAAGATGTAATTGGAGGCGCGGGCGTTCTTGGGTTGATTCATCAGTTCCAGAAAGTCAGCAATGACGGACGCAGTGGCGGTGGAGTTGGCATTTGAGCAGCCGACTTTTGTTCTCTTCTTTGAAGAGAGCATGCAGCCCAGGAGGTCTCTGGGTTAAAGCTATTGCACTTCATCAGCTCCCAGTTTCATCTTGATCATTTTTATTTGTATACCCCAACTTTCTGACGTCCACAATTTATCCCTCCTGTCATCCAACTTCGCCCGGTCTGAATTCTGTTACAGTTATCCTGTGTCCCCTTCTACACGAATACTCTTTCTGTTATTTTAAACATGGACAGCGTTGGTGTTGGTGTTTGTTTTCTTAATTTCATACAAGTAACCCGATCAATATATTCATACAACAACCAAAGCAAGAGGTGCAGAGTGTGTTGGAGTACTGCTCAAATATTGGAGATATATACATTGATAAACATAAACCTACATAGGTTTGGCTATGGACACCTGGTTTAAGAAATTATAATCGATATGGCTTATTTGGAAAGCATATTTATATGGCGATTTGCTATGAGATATCATACATGAACTTTTGCCTAAGTCTCTCTTCAAGAAGGGTTAATAGGTGGATCATGTCATACTATGTGAGGACAATTAAGCTCTTTCTACTTAGAAAGTATTTGGCGATAGTAGCAGCAAAACCATTCAAAGCTTCAAGTTTCCTTGACATCTCTCTCTCCATTCCTATTCTCTAACGTGTAATTCCAAACCTGCACTATTACCTTAAACGCATATCGACAGTACAGTATCGGGAACAAGGCCCGGCCTGGACTGGAGCACGACAATCCTATGTACGCAGTAAACAACCTACCTTCAAAAGCTCCCAGTGTTTTTATTTCTCGGCCTCATGTCAATTGCTGTGTGAACGCCCATACTGTACGGAGTATGTACTGTGCAATGGACTGGCCGCCAAGAAGCTCTCAAGCTAGACCAATCAGAGGCCGTATCGGACATTTTACTCCTCCTATTCTCATAATATACAGGCTATTAATTCAAGGGTTGCAAAGAAAGCCCTTCCAACTCTCCAAGGCCACCTCGTGTGAGTATTCAGCACGCCTTTCCTGCAAATAATTGGCTGCCAGGAGGAAGTTGTTCTTTTCCATCCCCATTCGATGGTAAGAGTTCAACGGCGGAAACGCAGGACGACCTTACACGCTCCGCCTCCCTAACCGAATAACACCCTCTAGCTCCTTCTTTTCATCATGCCTCGTTTCCGCCGATACAGAGTATTTGTGGTTTTCGCCGTCATCAGCGTTGTCTCCTTCGTTCATTTCTCCCGGATCCTCTATGGGTCTACGCCCTCAACTTTCTCCAACGAATCTACACGGATACAAAAGCAAAAACCTCTTCCACCACCTCTTCCACCACCTCTGCCAGCTCCTCCGCGTCCTATTGCAGAACCCCCTCGGTCCACGCCGCTAGCTGGGAATCTGGAAGACCATGGCTTCGCACCAGAATCTACAACAGCGGTTCTTACATCTAACCCTACATCAGCGGCTACTCAAGTAGCGAACCCGCCGCCAGGTCAATCGCCCATTCCTCACTCAACACAGCAAAAGCCAACCAAATCAGATCCGCAGACGGGACTAATTTCCCCTCTGCCTGAGGAAGATGAGCTTCAATCTCCTGGTCAAGGGAGGGTAGAAGTTGATGGCTTCAAGACCAAAATCCGGTGGGAAAAACAGCCCGAGCATTTCCCCGTTCCACCGGAGAACCTCATTCGGCTCCCTGAAGGGGCCCCGAAGACACTGCCCAAAATCCAATTCGAATTTCCAGAAGAATCACCAGCAGCTAAAGCCGATCGCGAGGCGAAGCTTGCCGTAATCAAGGCGTCCTTCAACCATTCCTGGACGGGGTATAAAGCGGAAGCATGGGGTCACGATGAGTTGCGTCCTGTTTCTGGTGGATATCGAGATCCATTCTCGGGATGGGGCGCCACGTTGGTGGATGCCTTGGATACGCTTTGGATTATGGGCATGGAAGCTGAGTTTGAAGAGGCCGTAGAAGCAGTCAAGAAGATTGATTTTGCTACTAGCCCAAGGCGGGATATCCCTCTCTTTGAGACGGTGATTCGCTACCTAGGGGGCCTCATTGGAGCCTATGACATCTCCGGCGGTAGATATCAGACTCTACTCGATAAAGCTGTCGAACTTGCAGAGATACTGATGGGTGCATTCGATACTCCTAATCGAATGCCCGTTACCTACTATCTTTGGAGGCCGTAAGTCGACCATGTTTTGTCTCTTTTTAACCTTTTTGAAGAATCCTGTCTCTGATGCTGAATTTTTCTGTAGGAGAATGGCGTCACGAAAAAAGCGTGCAAACTCTAGAACCGTAACCGCGGAGATTGGGTCCCTGGTAGTTGAATTTACTCGTCTGGCACAGATTACAGAGGAAGCTAAATACTATGATGCGGTTGCACGAATTACCAACGAGCTTGAAAAGTTCCAGGAGAAGACGAAAATACCCGGGATTTGGCCTACATATCTAGACGCCTCCGGTTGCAAAAGGGTTGAGCTACCTGTAGACCAGCCTACGGACATGCCTTCTCGTGCGTCGCCTCCTATAATCCCTGAAAATAGGTTGCCAGAGAGACAAATCCAGAAGCGGGACGAAATCGATCCTCTTTTGGTCGATGCAGAGCCTGCAAACTACGACGTCAACCCTGATTCGCAACTTCTGCCACCTTCTCCGGTGAAAGCAAGTTCCGATGACGATCGCTTAGCTGAAAGCACACACATAGTCGAATATGGTTGCGAAGACCAAGGGTTTACATCCCCACCTCGTTCACGATCGGATAGATTTACCATTGGCGGTCTTGTGGACTCAGTCTACGAGTACTTACCGAAACAGTATGCTCTGTTGGGTGGTCTCAATGACCAGTACCAAGCTATGCACGAGAGGGCTATGAATGCGATCAAGAAATATCTTCTATTCAGACCCATGCTACCGGATGCCAGGGACGTTCTTTTCATTGCATCTGCTACTACGTCAGAGCCTGTAACTGAAAAGGGTGATTTAAAACATACATACGAAGGCACTCACTTGGCCTGTTTTGCCGGTGGCTTGTTTGCTATAGGTGCAAAGCTCTTCGGGATTGAAGACGACCTGGCCATTGCTACTAAACTGACTAATGGCTGTGTATGGGCATACGAATCTACCACAACCGGTATCATGCCAGAAATTTTTGAGATGCTGCCTTGTGAATCACTGGAACCATGCGAATGGAACAAAACCAGATACTATGATGCTTTAGACCCGTATTTTGCAGAGCGAAAATCGTATCATGACCAAACGGCTGCGGAGCATGCACGACAATTATCGGACCCAGTGCAGCCCTGGCACAGTGACGCCAATTCGACTCCTGTCCCTACGATGCGACAATCCGCTCCATCACAGGCTGCTATAACACCCACTATTTCACTTGCATCGACTGCCAGCCCGTCCCCTCTGAATGAGAGAGTTATCCCCGATTTCCTCTCCCATGAAAAATTTGCCCAATTAACTATTCAGGAAGAACGTCTACCTCCCGGAATATCCACCATCCCGGCAGCTAGATACATTCTTCGCCCGGAGGCGATCGAGTCGGTGTTCATCATGTATCGCATTACAGGAGATGATTCCTGGAGGCAGAAAGGATGGAAGATGTTCCAAGCCATTGAAGCTGCGACTAGAACGGAGCTTGCGAATTCGGCCATTAAGGATGTCACGAGCAGGGTTCCTATCCCCCTAAATGAGATGGAGTCATTTTGGCTTGCGGAAACACTAAAATATACTTACTTGCTATTCAGTGATCCAAAACTTGTTAGTTTGGATGAATATATCCTGTAAGTCGATGTCGCCTTCGTTTGATATTTCTTCCCCCTCCCCTCCTTTTTGCTTCTTCTTTTTTTTTTTCTTTTTTTTTTTTTCAAGCCTTGCTAACCCTTTGTTTGTCTTCTTATAGGAATACCGAGGCACATCCACTCAAACGTCCATTGCATTGAATTCATAGTCACGAAATGCTTAAATAACGCGATTGTCAGTCCTTTATGAAGGTGTATATATATGTGTGTCCCGGCCTTACTTTCGTATATCGTATTATGAGAGGGCGCATACCCTCATCCCGGTTTTCTTTCCTTTGCTTTTATTTCTACAAGTTTTAACCCTTTCCTTTCTTCCCTAATTCACCACTTATGTGTTAAATACTTTTGGTTTGTATTTTCTTGGATGTCACTTTTTGGGTTAGTGTTATATTTAATCTTTGGACCACACAGCGTATTTAACAACATGCTAGCTATGTATAAATGACATGCAGTTAGAACATTAGCGACCATATCTGTTTATAAATTCCCACGTGTTTGATCCCTGTAGCGATGCCATCATCATTGGTGAATATATCTAGTCACAACGTGTGCCGAAGGTTGGCCCTACCAGCACCGTATTGCCAATACCGAAGTAAACCCTTACCATATAATACACTGCGTAGCGGCGCCAACCAGGCTGTAACCCGGCGAAACAGTTCCCGTATCAACAATACCAGCCCGCCACGGAATCTTCCCCATATCCTCCTCATCCATCAACTCCGCCTCCAAGCTTTCTTTCATTGCATCTCAACCGCCTCCACGAAAACACGCCTCCCAATCCCATACGGCTCACGCATTATCCAGTCACTCTTTCCAATCCCGTGTCCACTTTATTTAGCCTGCTCTATTTGACTTTTCCTTTTGTTGCCTTTGTTGCTGCAGCAGCAGTTTTTTTATTTTGCCCCTCCGTTTCGACGCCGGTGCTGGGAACAAGCGCACCGAAAAAGTCGCCGTTGCGGCTTGTGGGAAGGATAAACGAGGGCATTGTTTACTCGAGGCAAAAACACTTATAATTAACAATTTATTAACCCACGGTCGCGAAAGCAATGACAGAGTCTAAGGATGGACCTCGAAGCGTCGCACACTACTCTGGAGGATGCGGAGTCATTTTGGGATGGTTAGTTTCGGTGCAAGATCCTTCTTCCCCCCCCTCTTTTTGGCTTCTGCCCGTGTGCGACTGTGGTGTCGGGGGTGGCGCCGTTGTTGCGAATGTTGGCGCCGCGAGCGGAGACGTCTGCTCGTGCATGTGCTGGTTTGCTTGGTCCTAGCATATATCTCTATATATGGGGACTAGCTGGAGCAACTGGCTTTCCTTAGTTCTCAGCTTGAGCTGCGGGAAGCTTTGGTTGCAACTATATATATATATACTTTCACAGTTTGCAGGCTGTTTTTCTATCGAGCAAAGCTAACTGGTTTACTTCTTTTTTTATTTTGCGTTCTAGAATTCGATGCCATTTTCCAGATGCCATGCGACTCTCACGCTGCGATCGATAATGTGCTCCGTGCTTATTTGGAATTAACGACCCAGTATAAAGGTGTGTTTGTGTCCTTGTATCGTACGTGCACATTTCTCCATCGAATGGTTGTTTATCTTATAAGGGCACTAGTGGAAGGAATATTATATTTTCTATCATATGATGATCTATCCGGGTTTGTCAACACGAGCTTAATTTGTTCTTGTCCATGAGCAGATACTCTCCTTTCTTCTGAATATGAAATCTCCCACTGCGCAGAGAGGTTACTTGCCTCGGAGTTCTTCGTCGCAAATGCGGATTATATACGGAGACAGATCATATACTGCTTGTTACAGGTCTGAGCTGACTTCTCTCCTTTTCCCTCTTTGCTTCTGATATCGGTATATTTGTGACTGACGAAGTTGTGGCTGTTCCATGCGTCTTCAGGACGATGCCCCAGACGTCCTCTACGTAACCGCCTCGTTTCTCCTTTTCGATGGCCGACAAAATGAGCACACGTTTGAGATGATGAATAAAGAGGGGGCATTTGTGCGCTTGCTAGAGCTAATTCAGTCTTCGGAGCATCTTGATGGCGACGGTGGAGCTGGACTACACCGGTTGTTAATGAACCTAATGTATGAAATGTGTAGGATTCAAAGGATTAAAATCGGCGATTTAGGTGAGTGAGAGGCTGGGAGAAATGTTCAGATAAACCCCTCGAATTTGGGTAGCGTCCCAACAGCGTCTCTCAATATTTTCCCCTCTCTGGACATGCGTCCTTCTCTTTGTTAGAACTCTGTGGATAATTATGCAGTACCACTAATTTGTGACACAGTACTTGTGGATGATGATTTTGTGAAGCATTTGTTTGAGATTGTCGAAGAGCTTTCGGGCGACGTCGACGATCCTTACCATTATCCTGTGATTAAAATTCTAGTAAGATCACTCTTCCGAGTTCCATCCGAATTGAGCCTGTTCATAATTCAATGCTGATACATGCGATTTATTTGTAGTTGGTTCTCAACGAACAATTTATGGTCTCAGCTCATGACCCGTTACCTGAACGATCATCATCAGTCCCTCTCACCAACAAGGTCATCAAGGTCCTTTCGATGTTTGGTTCTGCTTATAAAACATTTGGAGAAAACATAATCCTTCTCCTTAACCGCGAAAGTACGCAAATGACAGACCCCCCTTTTCTCCCGTTCTTCTCTCTAACGCCAGTCCACAGGCGAAACTTCTCTTCAACTACTTACCTTAAAATTGCTCTACCTTCTCTTTACCACGCCCCCAACTTATGAATATTTCTACACTAATGACCTTCGAGTACTCGTTGACATCTTAATTCGAAACCTTTTGGACCTCCCGGAGGACGCTACTGCACTTCGTCATACATACCTGCGTGTTCTCTATCCGTTATTGGCTCATACCCAACTCAGGCATCCACCTCATTATAAACGAGATGAGCTCAGAAAGCTCCTGGGGATTCTTGTTAGAGGCCAATTTTCTTTTGATTCAGAGGAACATGAAAGGATCCTTCATTTCGACGACGTCGATGATACAACGAAACGGTTGGTGTTGCGATGTGGCCAGGTAGACTGGCTTGCCGATCCTGAGATATGTAAACAGAAACCTAAGTCGGAAATTAATACGGAAGCGCCGGTAGAAAAATGTATAAAAGAATCAATTTCACCCGTCACGACTCCGTCCACCTCTCCAGAGCCAAGTTCTCCTCACAGCCTCACCGGACGCCGTTCCTCGCAATCAGCGTCATCGCCTCCAAAAACAAGCCCTGCGAGAGCACTTGGTATGAACCTCGAAACTGCTCGTTCTTCGGAAGGCAGCGTTGTTGAGGTTGCAGTCCACAAAGAGAAGCCTGGTGTCAACCTTCCCAGCCGGAGGGACATTTCGAAAGCTCCACCCGCACCGCCACCACCCCCGAAACAAAAGCCAGAACCCCCCAAGGCTAGACGTTGGCGTGGGCGTCGTGAGCAGCAGGAAGAAGACGAGCCTACAGAACAAAAAACTGCGGATAGAATGAGCACTGCTGTACGTGAAAGGAAAGGTTCAGTTAGCATCAAAGCCTCTGGATCCGTAACCCCCACGACCTTACCAACCGACTCATCGAAACATACATCCGCTGGCATATCGACAACCCAATCAGCCCTCCACGAGCCCCCAGTTCCTGCAATAATCGTCCCCAAATCACGCACCCCAAATCCCTCCTCGAGTCCTCATGCCCCTGCTGTTCCCCCACCACGCAGATCCTCACACTCCGTCCCTCCAAAATGCCGTGCCAGCCAGCATGCCATTCATCATCGCCTCCGTCAGCCACCCCCTCTGCCCCAACATCACCATCCTTACAGCGCTCAAAAACTGAATCCACCCTCCGAGTCACCTTGCTCAAGCCATTTCTCATCCTCTCCGGCAAGCCCGTCGTTGTCTCCCTCGAGTTGCCACGTCACATCCCAAAAGCCAGAACCACCAAAAGCCCGACGATGGCGAGGCAAGAAGTCCCAGCAGGTAGTTGACGGAAATGCAGCCGGCCACTCTGTTCCTCTTACCGGGAACACAATCATAAATAACAATGATTATAGTGAGAATAATGAGAAGTGCAGCGAAGTCAGCGACAATGAGCGGCGAGTGGTGGTGGCTACGTTGCTTGAAACGACGCTTACGTGTGCTCATGATACCACAAGCGTTGAGTCTGTTACAATTATAGAGGATGAAGTGGGCAGGCTGAAGGTACAGGAAGAAGGTTAACTACCCTAAAGGTATTCCTTATTTTGCCTTTTTTCGCCGTTTAGACTTTCTGGATGGATTTTTGATCGTATGCGAAAGGTTTTAATTTTATAAGGGCGATACCCCTCCATTGCCTGCCGTGGGATTACTTATTTTTTTTTTTTTTTTTCTTAACTTATCTAGGGAAATTCTTGATTATTATTATTAATTATTTTTATTACGCTCTCACTCTTTTGTAGTTCTACACTTAAGTTGTTTCTGCTTCTGGCTTTGAAGAACTGCGATAGCTTCTACAGAGGTAGACACAAGCGAACTTGAAGATATTGCATCCCAGAGAGAATATATATATATTTTTTTCTCCCCCACCCACCCCCCACATTTGCTTCATAAAGAAAGGAAAAATATTATTATGGGAAACCCACCAATACAAGAGACGTAAAAAAATAGGCAAGATAGTTGCCCCAAATTTTTTTCTAGAAGACAAATACAACACCCTAGTACAATAATTCCTTATGATATGTTGCCAATTCGCAACAAAATGATCACTGCCCTTCATACCCTTTCACATGCTCTTCTCTTCGTCCTAATCCTCCCTCCTATCGGCGGCAAGATGACCTCCAACACCCAAGGGCTCTCAGGACGCACTGCCACTTCCCCCTTACCATCAGGTCTTGGCACAGGCACTCAGGTCTACATCAAAATTTCATGAGCAAGCAAGCCAAGAGCATTTTTCGTCTCAGCATCTGCGATAAGCGCTGACATGCGTGCCGCCGTGGCCGAAAAAAGATATTGGCGGATGTCACGGTGAAAGTTGCCTGCGGGCGTGCTCCTGTGCCGTTAGATGCTCACTATGATGGTCTCGTTTCGGCTGCGCAAAACGCCAGGGGTTAAACTTCATGGGGTCTTCGAAGATGTCGGGATCGCAGTAACTGCCGCGCGAGAGGATGGAAACCATCGCCCCCTTGGGGAGGGGGACGCTGATGGTGCTGGCTTCGCCGCTACCCAGCTTCGCTCTCTATAACGGGGGAATGGACATTATCGTCCATCACAGTGCGCGTGACGGAGCGATGTACAAAGCTGTGCGTTCGTACCGTTTCGCGCATCACGCTGTCCATCAACACCAACTTAGCGACGGAAGCTTTTGACCAGCCGCCTGTTTTCTCTTCCTTTTCAGCTAGCTCGGTAGTAGGAGATGGGACAGTATAGTATTCCCTTGGAAGCACAGATTCGATCTCCTCCCGGAGTAATGCGATTGTGCTGAATTCTTTGTCGGATGCGATGATGTTGAAGATTAGGTTTGTCGCAGTTGCAGTTGTCTGATGGAAGGAACCCAGGTTATTGATGCAGATCCGGTAGGCAAGGCTGTGGATGTCGTGTAAATCCTCTTTAGAGCGATCGCTTTGAGCGAAACGGAGCATTAATTGGAGTAAGTCCTCGGGCTCATTTTGGCCACTGTCTATGCCGAGATGCCGCTCGCTTCTTATCGTTTCAGAGTGCTGATGTTTCAAAAAGCGATCCAAACGCCCCTTTATCACCGGTTTCAAAATCCTTTCCAGCTTCCAGTAGTTTAAACGGAATGGAAGGTACAGTATCGGGCACAGGACAGGGCGGAGCGGTACAGGTATGTAGGGGACCAAGCCCGCGTTTGTTGCGAAGAGATCCACGAATTTAGAGGAAGCGCGGAGATATTCTTCATCCCTACCTGTGCTTTGATATTAATATATCGTCACTTATCAATAAATAGATACGATCCCGATGAAATCCAAGTGAAGTATACGTCTAGAGCGAAGAATAACCACTTACAAAGCGGCTCCCCTACCGTAAACTGACTCGAGAACTGTGCAATTACGAGTTTCAATGTATCCCAAAGTGGAATTTCCTCCCACTCGTCCTTGTTCGGAATCCACCTCTCAACTGCATTTTGCATTTCCTTACCCATTGGTCCCAGATATCTGTCAAAGTTGCGATTCACATCGCGATTGAGGATCATAGCCAGCCATGGATCGGTGACGTACTTGTGGTGGTCGGCTGCCCAGTCGATCTGATCCAGCTCACGAAATGCCTCCTGTGTGTTTAGGACTTTGTCCGGTTGGGTTACCAGCCACCGCAGGGTGCCCTTTGGTAGGAGAATTTCAGTCCGCAATCCGAGGCCTGGGACGAGGCATGGTTGGCCCTTTTTCAGGTACTATTTAATACGTTTCGTTAGTTGACATAGTAGAAGACTTAAAACACAGTAGAGAGATTAAGTAAAATAGACGGCTGTACTGCTTCAGAGCAATGTTTCTGTTAAGCAGCTGATACTCACAGTCTCATATGCCTCTTTATACAACCCCTCACAATTCGCATAATATGCTAAGCGAGTCTTAAGACTAAATCGAGCCTTCATACCATCGCGGACTCGGGGTATGCCTGGGTATTTGGCAGCGGAAAACCAGCAGTAAATCGAAAGAAGCACAACACCGGCCGTATTAACCAGACATGCTAACTGCAAGTAGCTCAGTTGATGAATAAAATCTGCTGCAAGCCATTTCGCAGGTACCAAGCCCGCCGTTGGTAAGGCCATGATACACAACGATTCTGCTCTCTCCGACAAACTTAGTGATCTCCAAATAAATGTCTCAAGAACCCTAGAGCGAAGGATATTTGTTTTGCTATCATTTCCCTGCCCTTATAGCAATCGAAATCGGGTGAAGGGTTAATGGAGTATGCAACGAGACCTATAAAACAAATTCGGACCACTGATATAAATGCATGAAAATCATCCAAAACAGAACGATGCGTACATGTCCTGTTCAAATCACTAAAAATTCGGTCCTCGGCTCAGCATATATCCGGAGATCACACAAGCAGGGATGAATTCGGGGAATGTAACATCGACAAACACGAGGATTGGCATAGGCAGGGGCCAGGAGCCATTAAGTTTGAAGCTATATTTACCACTTTCGTGTCTCTGTGATTCTCCGTGAAACAGGCCCATGTATCTTTGAACGGTAGCAGACACGGGCAAGGTGGGAGTCATAACAGCATGGCGCTGGTAAACGAGCTCTTTTGCCCCAGTAGCCTAGAGGTGTGTTCAGGGATAACCTTAAGTAATTGAGGGCTCATAATACATCTCTAAGGCTCTAGAATTTAGTGCGTAGTTGCAGTTAGTTGATGTCCCAAATGCAAGTCCACCTTGGGAGCTCAAAGGAGGCTGGAAATCGGGTTCTTCGAACATGAAATCTAGGTTAAGCTTATTTCTTATGGTGAGACGCGGCTTCCTAGGGTCTGCCTTACGTCGATTGAAGGCACTAGTGCCAAAGTCCTCCTGACTCTCGGGGGTGCATCTTGCGTCTGCGCCAGCTGCTCAGTCAATTATGAAGCTGATAGGATCAAAGAAGGTATTGGCATCAGCGCCTTTCACGATTCGACCAGCCACAGCGCCTGGAGGATTTGGTCTTGTAGCCTTGAGGCAGGGTAACTGAGGGTCGTCAAAGATAGGACGGCCCATTGTGACTTCGTATATTTCACCTTGGAGCTGAAAGCCCCCGCGAAGTGCATTCTGGAGGAGAGGATTACTATCATACCGCAATGTCGGAAGCCATCGATTTCCTACCATACCTGGAAGTTGAACCGGCCCCAGGATTCAGGTCCACTCGGACGATCTGCCTATCGAGGCAAGGCCTTGCTGTGTATCCTTTGATAAGGGAACCGCTGATGGTGCCAATTTAAAGCCCAAGGCTACCTCAATGCTCTGTGTTCCATAACTAACTCCATGCTACCTGTACAGCGTAGGTCATGAGTGAATTTTGTAGGAAGGTGATCACATGACCCAGCGCGTGGAGGGCATTGGAGGGATTGGATTGGATTGAACGATCCACCCCCGTTACTATTAGTTGGCCGTGATGACACCTAATGGCCAAGAGACTCAGGGGTTCATGTTGCTGTTGTTATTGAGCTAACTCCAGTGTAACTACAGATCTGATATGCGGCGACCGTTGAGCTTCCTATTGCAGACTAGCGTACTTCCCAAATGGGCTACATAAAAACCTTATTTCGACCAAGGGTTACGCACAGAACACTGGGTGCATCGTGCAGTGTACATACAGTACACTATGTAAACCGTTGTTGTCCGGAGGCATGATGATGCTCAGAGGTAGCATTTCCATCCAGATCTTCAGGCACTCGGGGATCTTTTGATACGATAGTTATATAATTCACTATGATGGCGACATCAAAACTGAGTTATGGCCCTTAAGAGATATCAGAAATCAGGTCATGGATACGCTATGGCAAATAAACTGGCGCAGTGCAATATTGGCCAAATGCTACTATCAATCCCTTAAGATCGATGATTCAGGAATTCAGTTCAATATGGAGAGTGTTACAATGTACAGGTACAAGCACCCTTCATACAAATACAATAGTTGAGGACGCCCCTAGCTTGAGGTCAAACGATGAAATTTCGTAGTAGCCAAAGTGCTTTTATTGTTCTTAAATCACGGCCTGAGCACTGTATGTTAAATTTCCACTTTTGCCGTGCTCCGGTTCCGACACCCCTAGGAATTGAAACACGTATTTAATCCCAAATATACACAGCTTCAGCTCTAGCATAGAACAAAGCTGAAAAGATGACGAATTCGTATCCCATAGAGATACATTTTGTATGAGAAAAATATGCACCTTGGCAACGTTTGAACATCTCAATCGTTTCCGGAAAGTGGTTTAGTGTCACGGTGCTGGCTCGATCCCAGGAGTGCCCTGCAAAATGAGCTCTAGGTAAGTCAGTATACACCACGCAGAAGACGAAGCATTTTGATAGTATAGCTGAAGAAACGAAACTCTATGAATAGCTACTTCCTCTAGTGTTTGTCTCTGTCGCACCTTGCCCTTTCAATTGATATGATTAAGGTTAAGTTCAGAGCCATGGTTCATTGGGAAGAGCTGAGACATGGGGATACTTAACCCTGCACCCCCTTTTTTGTTTTGTTCATTGAGTAAAAGTACATGCTTTTTCTATATTTGAATATCAGGGTATATTGTACTCTAATGCTAAATGATGAGATCCGTGCTGTTAAAAATAAACGCGGCGACATTCGAAGAGTGTCTATAATCAAGCACTCATAAAGGCATAAAAGAAAAGTCTTACAGTCAAAAAGCCAAGCTCGCCAATAATGCCGCCAATCCAAAGGGATACAAAATTCTTCAAAAGTCCACAATCCAACAAGACAGTCCAGCTTGTTCATAAAATCCCCCAGTATTTCTCTGCTCCAAAAGTGGAGGGGTTATCCTTCTTCCATTTGTCATCAAATGCAGAGAATAAATAGAGACTACGCTCCTTGCCTTTAAAAGCGCTCAACAAACTCGCCAGCGCCAGATTATGATTCTCCGGGGATGGAACTGCCTTGCCATTCGGATTTCCGTGCTTCGGCCACCCTGATTCCGTAACAACAGTCATCTTTCCCCCTGCTGCACGCGACACACGCTCCTGCTGCTTCTTGACAAAGCCTCCCGCGTTAGATGCTTCGGTGTTGGGGTCGAAAAAGGCATGGATGTTTGCAGCGCAGAAATCAGAAGCTTCGCAGAGTTCCGGATGGGCGATTAAGGCATTGAAAGTATCCACGGTGACGACGGGGCCAGTGTAGCCAGCGTCACGCAATACCTTCCTGGCTTTGCTGACACTCCCGACGACCTCAGAAACGGAAGATTGGCCGCTGTTTACACGCTCGTTGCCGATTGCAACTGTGACAATAAGTGCCCAGGAGGATTGGACTCCCTGAATCAAGTTGTGCAAGGCCTCGTCAAGCTTTTCGATGTCGTAGATGCCGGCGAAGAGTTTTTTCTGGTATTTATTGGCGGCAGCTACCACCATGGGAACTTGATTGCAGTCAGTGCCGTAGAAACGGACGGTGTCGAATCCACCAAATTTAGAAAAGTCGCTCTCAACTTGCTGTGGGGTCTTGCATTCGCCGTTATCTCCGTATGGAGCGTAGCATATTCCCAAGCCATTCCCAGGGAAATTGGGTGATCCAGGCGTTTTTGGTGGTGAAACTAGAGGAGGTACAGAGAGCGGGAGTGGGTTTTTAGTGGGAGAAGGAAGCGGAAGGGGCGGGAGGGATAGGTCAACGGCGTTGGAATTGCCGCCTGGAGGTGGCGTAGGCGCTGGAGTTGAGGACCGATGCAGAGATTGTGAAACTGGAGTTTGGGCAATCCTGTTTGCAGCGTCTTTGGTGATAGGGAGGCTTCGGACAGCAGTCAGCGTTGGTTTTGCGGAGGTAGACCGCTGGCCTGTAGTTTTCGATCTGACAGGCACGTTTTGGTCAGCCGGGACGATAACCTCAGTCGAAAAGTCAACGAGATTATTCGATTCCCCACGCTTTGCGTTTTCAGGGGAATACGCTATCCTCAAGATGTATCAGCTTCCAATTTCGCGACTGGATTTAGAGGTACCGGATTGGAAGGGGAAAACGCAAGAACTTGCCTTTCGGGAGGGCGGCGGTCACGCTTAGCAAAGAAAGCACAGTAATGGTGAAGATACCAGTTTTCATTTTCGCATATGTACTTGTATGTTTTATATGTCCAATCTCTCAAAAATGCTTATTCGTTTGAGACGAAACAAGCGCTACATATGGCTTGTCAGTCAATGGCTAGCAGCCCGCTTGCTAGAGCAGAAGAGCCATGGATATCTACGCAAGCAAAACATGTAGTTTTAAGGCTGTGCAATTCCTCAGCTCAGGTTATGCCAGTGGAAAGGCACATTGCGAAACAGGCCTAACGGAGGAGTAAAGTTGGGTCTCTAATAAACTGGAACTGCATGAAGAAAAGTCACTCACCTAAGACTATAGGAGATACAAAAAGTCGGAAGAACAGTATTATCTCACAGCCCACAGTTTGCAAATTTCACGAACTATTACAGGTTTGCGAACATTGGTTTGTTTTAGCTCCAACAACCGGATAAGTATATCCCAGCCGCTATATCTCCCACTGCGTATGCGTGGATGTGAAGTGAAGACGGTCGGATTCGAGAATGTTGGCGATATAACGACAGAATTTCCTTTTGCAACGGAACGCTAGGTAGCTAGAGTTTAATGTGTGAGAGGTCGATTGAGGCGGCGGTGTTGAAGAGATTGGCAACGCACAGCAAGATTGTATTCTGCTGTAAAGGATAGAACTGATTTTTGCAGGGGCAAAAAGGAAGGGAGTCTGGTGTCAGGAGGGATTGAGCCCAATATATTACCACAGGGAAAAGGCATACGTGAGGCGATCCCGCGGTCGACTTAAGGTCATAGCCGAGCAAGACCTCGTGAAGTAAAGAAAGCAATTGAAATAAAATGAAATAAAAACATCTGACTGAAGCAATCCTAGACACTAGCTGAGGAGGCAACTGTGTACGTCTCGATAAGGACTGACTAGCAGGGTAGATAAAAGCAACTGATAAAGCGGAGAGGAATAAGCCGGCCCTCATGACAAGACCATTAATTAAGCAATAAATGTTTGAATATGTGAAAGAAGTAGATAATTGACCAGAGAGGCGAATAAGACGAACAACACCGACGGCGGACAGAATTGGGGAGAAAGGACTCAAGCACATCACTATTAATCAACAAAGGAATAACGAAGGTCTGGGTAGATTGGACGATTAGGACCGGCAATGACAGGTAAGCTATACAAGGAAATCATGCAGAATAAGAACTGGGGAAAATAAATTTTTAGCCAGCAAGGGTAACACGGTTCCGCGCGGCAGAGAACTGTTATATAGATTGGCACATGTAGATGTACCGCACAAATGGCGCTGTAGAGATTTGGTGGGCGGCAGGCAAGAGCAGGAAGATTTATTTCTTTGACAAAAAGACTGCAAGTAGGCCAGAGAGCACAAAAATATACGAAATTGGCCAGCAGCAATTAAATGCAGGCGAGATAAGGTAGAAGCCGTTAAGGAAGAATCAGGAACGCCTCGCATTTCGTGGATCTGAGGGGCGGCGACCTATTCGAACACCGTACCAACGTCGTTTACCCTGGGCGCTGCTCCTCATTGCATGGTTGTTTATGATATCGGATTGTGCACAATGGTCTCTGCGTCCATGCTCATGCCTGTCCGATTTCGTCATCCCATCTCCTTGTGGCTTGGGAGTTGAATAGTTCAACGGGATATGCAGCTTTTTAGTAGGGTGCGTCCTAGGCGGATCATCCGGGTATGACGTACGGCTACCAACAGTACGGCCCTACTTGGGTGAGGATGACACATGGCATTCAGACAAAAACCGCATCAGAATTTACCTTGACTAGATTCTCAAACATGACTTGAATCTTCCAGATCTCATTTTCTTTGGGGAGGGCTTTCGGGAACACTCCGATTCCAGGAATAAACTCGGGCCTGAACCACAGAAACCTCCTCAACTGGTTGAACTTTGGGTCCGCCCGACCACAAACACCCCACTCAAGCGACCTGGTCAAGCGTTCAGCCCATGGCAAATTTGAATTGCGACACTTGGCGGTACAGCTTCTCCCTGCTGTAAGAAACGAGCGAACGAAACCAGCGGCAATGGTAGGGGAGAAGGTGGCAGGAGTTCTGCTTCTTTTGTTTCTTTGTTGTTTTGACCGTGGCATGGTTAGTGAGGGCAGCCGTCGCTGTTTCATAAGGGACACACACAAAAGGTATTGTTGCCGTCGGAGACAAGACGCAGTGTTGTGGCTGTTGTTGGAGGTCGTTGTTGTCAGACGATATTGGATGTCTGCTTTGATAACCGGATCAGCCGCTAAGCTGTATGGGGAGGGGACCTGACTGACATCTATACAAGATTCTTGTATGAGCGGAGCCAGAGAATATCGACTTCAACTGATCATCTTGTCAATCACGCAAAATAAAATAAAATAAAATAAAACGACCCGCCCTCCGAATCCAAACCCGCCTCCAGCGACGAATATACAGAATCTCTAAGTCATCAAATCAGGAAGTGCTCATATGCAGGTTCATGTACACACGTACATTACATAGTGCCGAGAGGGACATACCGTAAATGACACAATCTAATCCATTCCCCCAAAGTAGAGCCATTTGCCTGTCATGTTACTGCTGTACCACCTTTTTTGCCTTTCTAGGTTGCTATAATAACAAAAGCTGGCGCATCGATGGTTCATCTCGCCTGCTAATCTCCTGTTTCTTAAAACGAATGACATGGCGGAAATTCATACAAAACGGTCGAGGGATGGGTTGGGCTAGACTGGAGTAAGATGTGGGATAAAATAGAGGGAGAAAGGGAGTAACAGACCCAGTTTGCTGAGTTTGTTGACCTGATGATATGACGATGATGGCGTCGAGGGTTTTGCAACATCGATGATTGTGGAGTATATGCATGTACGTACACACACACACATACATATTCATTCATATTTAGATATCGATAGCCATTTGCAGATGTCCACTGATTGAATGTATTTGCGTAGATCAATTGATACATGGATACATGGACGCATCTTGCACATCAAAAGGATGCGGACAGCTTAATTATTATATATATAAGTACATAAAAGCGACGGCGCTGAATTACAACAGGTATCTAAATCCTTTTTCTTCATAGTACAAAAAACAGAAGAGAAAAAGCAAAAACCAGGAATCGTACAGCGGAATGGGACAGGAAGGGTCAGACAGAATTAGTGAAGAAAATCAAAACTTAAAAAGAGCAAAAAAAAAAGCAGAGAGACACCCCCAAAACCTTTACCAAGACACCAACCCAAGCCAAATGCACCACACACACGCCACAACGAGTCTTATCGCCTCTGCCTGAGAACTTTCGTAATAGCATGGCGAATTATGGTCCCCGCCTTCTCAACCTCCCTCCGCGATATGCCCGTCGTCAAGCATACTTTGAGAGCAGGAGGAGGAGGAGTCGCAATGTGCTGGGGGATCACGTTGTCCTCGATGGACTTACTACGGGTAATGAGGACGCCATTGGCGAGAGCCTGAGGATACATCATATAACATTAGATATATATAAA